GACCACAAATATGTTAAATGATTTTTAAATCTGTAATTATCCTGAAAGGGAAAATTATGGTTTCAAAACACCATCATCTATGGATACCTCCAGAACAATTCTTTGAGGAGCAGGTTACTTAGGAATTTCAAGACACAGGGCCTCAGCCAAAGCCTGCTGAAGTCAATCAGTCCTTTCCACTGATTTCAGTGGGCTTTTGGATTATGTTTATGAAATGAGTGGATTAGGGCAATCAACAGCCATTTTGGTTGTTGGCACAGTGATTCTCAGCATTCAGTCTGCAGAGTATTTGTTACATTATCTAAGCATGAGATTTTGCTCCAGTGCATTGCAAACTATCCGCCATTATAACCCCGCTCTTTGTACGTTCCATAAAAGTTGTCTATCAAGCCACCATCTTATAGTAAACACTCAATCTCATCTGTAAGGAAAAGTGGGACTAACAACACCAGCCTCTCTCATACATATATTACCTGAACCTCTTCTCTCTCTCTCTCTCAGAGTATCAACTGAAGCTCATTTACAAGGTCATGGTTCAGCTCATATTTCATTGGCTTCTAAAGCTATACTGACCCATATGATTTAGAGCAGTATCTAGCAGAAAAGAAAGGAAGCATTCAAGAACTTAGTAGATATCCATATTCTATGCTAGTCCATCAAGTGTATCAGTGCCAAAGGCCAACCCCATTTCTTTAAATCAGTCATGCTGTAACTTGATCCTGTTCTTCTACCCAGGAGGAACATAGTAGCAGAGCAATTAAAGGCATCTTGCTATAGGTAAGTTCATGTCCCAGCCCAGACTTCAGTCAAAGACAGTGCATACCTGGGAATACAGATTGAGGGCTTAACTGCAGCTGTCTGTTATTTTAGGCCCCTTATTCTCTCACGTGCCATTGGCTATAGAAACTAGTGTGCCTTAAACATATGAGACCACAGGTTACTAGGCCTAGGAGGACTTCTAGCCTTGACTGATCAACTGTTGCAGGATTTGGGGGGGGGGCGGGGGGTCACACAGCAGTCAGATCCCTCTTCTTCCTTATCTAAATAGATAAACTTTATTGAACACTATTGTACACAAAGAAAAGGTGCCGTGGGACTTGCATATGGAACCAATGATCATTATGGAACCCATAAACCAGCTCCTCCACCAAAAACACCTTACCATGCGGTCCTGCTCTGAAACATAATGACATTAGCATCAGTAGCATCATTAATACATGGACCCAATTAATCATTCATGCTGTTTTCTGCAGGGAAGGGAGGGACTGTAATAGAACCATTAGGAGATGCAGGAATGTCCCCCAGTTCCCCAGGAAAGGTGATGTCATTAGGGCTGTGCAAAATTTCAACGGGCATTTTGTTTTGAAGCTGTTTCGACACATTTCAAACTCAAAACCGCAAAATCGAAATGAAACAAAAGGCTTCGAAACAGCTTCAAAATGAAACAAGGGCACTCAAAACGTTTCAAAACATTTTGAGTTTCAAAGCCAGGCTTGCTTGAAGCTAAACAGAAACTAAGGAGTGGGGGAGGACTGCTCCGATATTGACATCTAGCTCCCTGATCGCTTCCCCAGCTCTTCCTGGGGAGTGCAGGCCCCCGGACCTGCGTGCAGGGTTTCAGTAGGCAACCTGCTGAAACCCTGTGCGCAGATCTGGGGGCCTGTGCCCCCAAGAAGAGCTGGGGAAGTGATCATAGGGCTGGGCAGGTGGGCTGCAGAGCTGTGCCAGACTCTTCCTAGGGGGTACAGGCCCCCGGATCTGCACATGGGATGACAGCAGGCTGCTGCTGCCAGCTGAGGCCAGCACCTGAGCCTGTCCAGTGCAGCCTGCACTGAGCACTGGGAAGAACCCAGTGCTGGCCCTGGCCCCAGCCAGCAGCAGCAGCCTGCTGTCATCCCACATGCAGATCCAGGGGCCCACTCCCCCCAGGAGGAGTCTGGCACAGCCCCCCCAGGGGGAACAGACCCCCAGATCTGCACGCAGGATGGCAGCATGCTGCTGCCGTCAGCTGGGACCAACGCCAGCACTGGGTTCTTCCTGGCACTTGGGGCAATCTGTGCCGGGCAGGCTCGGGTGCTGGTGCTGGCCCTGGCCCCAGCTGGCAGAGGCAGCCTGTTGTCATCCCACATGCAGATCCAGGGGCCTGTGCCACCCCAGGAAGAGTCTGAAACAGCCCTGTAGCCCTCCTAGGGTGGTGCAGGCGCCCAGATCTGCGCACAGGATGACAGCAGGCTGTAGCTACCAGCAGGTGATACGAGTTTTTCTTTGAACAGTCTGAGGTGCAGTTTCCCAGACACCCCTAAACCTATCTCCTTGAAATTTGGCAGGCTTTATGCCCTCTGAAGGGGCTACCATCCGTGTAAATTTCATCCAAATCAGGTAAGAAATGACCAAGTTATAGGCATTTTCATGATTCCCCATTATAGCCTGTGGGTGAAATGTCAAAATGCATCGAAGCTGCATCAAAACAGCAAAAGAGTTTTGACAAAGAAGGAAAAGAACAGTGCTTTCAAACAGTGAAATGAAACACTGTCTCTTTGAAATGGTGACACGGAAGTCAAAACGAAACAGTGCTGTTTCAAACAGCCCTAAATGTCACCATAATACTCAGCAGCTTGTTCCCCACCTTAATAATCTGATAATTATACAGTTGATATGTACACAATATTAAATCAACATTTTTCCTGCTGCAGCTTGCAGGCTATTTAGCCTTATTTTAATCATATATATAATTTATGATTAAAATAAGGCTAAATAGGAATACAAGATAATGATTAACACAACATATTATGGTACATTATGGAGGATGCCAGCCCACCTAGGTAGAGCTAGTTGACTTCAACAGCTGCATTCCAGGTCACTCAGGCCCACAAGTTGCATCTAATAGAAAAAGCACCAACTGTTTTAATAATGCCAGCCAACATCAAAGCATGTACCCAACATGCTCCAACCACAGATCACAGTGCAAAGATGGCCTTCTTGCTCTACCTGTTTAATCAGTATTACTATAGATAGTAGAACCTCAAAAGATACTGGTTTCAGATATGCAATGCCAAACTTTCAAGGGCCCTGCCACCCAGTGGAACTCTCAATGCAGGATCCCGGTACAACAGCTGGGAAGAGAAGTGCCTCAAACTGGACTCCGTAGAAGGCAGCAAGCTGAGCTGAAAGATGCCTAAACTAGCCGGTAGGAAATGCTAAGACAATGGCCAGTCTAACCCCTGCCCAAAAGAAGTCTAGCTACGCTTAACTCCACATTCTCAGCTGTGACCCCACCCCTGCATTTAGAGCTGACACTGTTCTTGGTAGAGGCAACATGAATAACTCAGCAATACAGCAATAATCCAAATCTCAGTCCAGTGGTTACAGCATTTCCCCTGGCTGTGAGATCTCTCAACTCTTTCCAATTTGTTTACATCTTTCTTGAAGCCTGGTACCCAAAAACAGGCACTACCGAGTCAGGCCTCAATACTGCTGAACAGAATGTAAGACTTCTTTGTGATACTGGCATGCAATACTCCTGTTAATACACCCCAGTATGTTGTTAGCTTTTTTGCAACTATATTATAATTTTAATTCATATTGTGTCTGCAATCTGTTATAACCGCCGGGTAAAGAAAGGTATTGCAGCCTTATCAGTTGTTAACTATTTTGTATTTGTGCCTTTCATTAGTCCTTTTAAACGTTTTACTTTGCATTTGCCTTACTGAATTCATCTTACTTACTTGTGTCCACTTCTCCAATTTATCAAAGTTGATCAAATTTATCAATGAAGATACTAAAAAGTACTAGAACCAGGACAGATCCCTGGATACCCCACAACGTAACTACATAACACTTCTTAGTTTGACATCAAGCTATTAATGACTGCCCTTTAAGTCGGCTGTCATTTTATTCACCATGCTCTGGGATTAGCAAATATTTGATGCTGGTCAACCACCCTACCCAACCCCATGCAGCTTTAATACTAGGGCACTGCTAAACCTGTACTTGTACTAGGCTATATTCAATGAAGTGCTAAGAGGAAATAGTTAATTAGGAGCTTGCTGTTACATCTAGGTTACACTTAATCCTTGTACCTTTTGTAACATGTTTTCATGCAAAAATAAAGGTTTATGATTTGCCCATAGTTTCCTCTTTGTAGGCTGAGCTTGCTCAGTTTTCTTTACCTTTAACTCAAAAGTCTTAATTTTGAAAGCACTTTGTTATTTTTGCTGTTCTTCTCCGAGTTCTCTCCCAGTTTGTCTGCCTGGTTTTCATTAAGTTCCTGGCTTCAGATGACCAATATCACAACTATGCCTATTGAAATGCCGCTTCAAAAGAAGCTAGCCTGTAAAGCTGAACAGATCATACATGCTGGACCCCACACCTGCTCACCCAACACACAACCCCAAGAAAACTAAAGTCATGTCACGTCCACATCATCACATCTATGTGGACCAGAAGTTAAAAGATCAATTACATTGCTCTCACAGCAGGTTGGGCATACTTCCAGTCTGAGAATGCAAAGGGATCCACTCCAAAGCACATAAAAGTAAAGACAGGTGAGTGAGCTGAAGATATGTATGAAAAGAAAAAACACCCTTACAAACTACCAGCTGCAGGGTTTGCAAACCATTTTGTCTGTCTGGCCAGGCTTCAAAAAGAGTGATACTTCTATTTATGTAATAAAGATAATCCATGTATGAAAAGTTAGTGAACATCTTTTAAATGAAAAAAATGCAACAGCTACAAGGAAAATATAATTCACCCAAGCATCATTTTAGTTAAAAACTCCCAGATTTAGATTCGTTTGTATAGTTGAAAAGGTAACACCCGAGAAGTCTTGCTTTTTTGCTTTAAAAAAAGTACAAATCAAACTGGAAAACAAGGATACTGCTGTTGTAGTGGCACTAAAAGAAAACTCATGCATCTAAGCTCTTGGTTCTGGGCAATCAGAATGTATATCATCAACATAAGCTGAGCTACACTTCAAAGACAAAAATGAAAATATAAATTACCTCCTTTGGACCCAAATCCAGCAGTCTATCCCAATTCAACAAAGTTGATGACAGGATGACCAAGAACCATGAGAAAAGGCAAAATGTCCTTCAGAGCTTAGTTTATAGCTTTGGGTGATTATAGCCCAGCTACACACACCAGGAGACCATGCACTGTTAGCAAGGGCCATTAACAACTGCAACACCTGTGGCATGTTAGTCTCTTGTTTAGAAGGGTAACAAAAGGAGGGAGTCAGCAAGGAGAAGAGGGTTAGCTAGTACTTTCTTAGCTAAGCAAATGTTTGACACTGACCATTTCAAATGTATGTTTTGGTTTATTGTTGTTTGGTATCTGTTTTTCCCAAATGGGAAACTGATTTAAAAAATTAAAGCTATAGTTGTGAACTTAAATGAATACAGCACCAATGCTATCACCAAGGGGATTCTCCTGATCTGCACTGGTTCTGTGTCAGCTGCCAGAGGCTGCTCCTCCTCACTTCCATAGAAGCAGACAGGTGATATGATTTCTGTCCAGGCTTTCAGCCAGTTGTCCTTCAGCCAGTTAGAAATAGACCCATATTGATCCCACTATTAGCATCATGTGTCAAAGGGCCTGAACAAAAAGGCTGTCTTGTTACATTGCTGTGCCAGTCAGCCCTTTGACAAAGGCATATGCTTAAAATTAGGCATCTACTTAACAGCTTGGCTGAAGAGGGATTACTTAAATACTATGCAGAATTACAGCCCTAAAACAGACCCTGAAAGAATGAATGGTCTTAAATCCTGGAAGCTATATCATTGTCTGCTTTTTTATCCTTTCCAGCAATCATCATTCCAAACATATCCAGTGGGACTGAAAGCATCCAGCGTGCAGAGACCTATGAAACAAAAAGGTCCAACCAATAAAATTCATGGTCGGACGTCATGAAAATATGTAAGTAACCTGAGAGATTCTTTGCACTGCAAGGGGCAGTATTCCCCAGGCTAATTCCATCAGCATAGAACTAGGGAAGACTATTTCCCCAAAGAACCATATATAGCTTTCAGAGAAGACTGTTGACATTGTATCAGTACTGAGCAGCAACATTTTAGGCAACTCCTCTACACATGCAGGTATAATGGGCATGATGGGATCTAATATGCAATCCACATGATCATGTATGTCCTGACATGCCACATGTGCATAGCAGGAGGCAGGATTGTGGAATTGCAAACCAAATCCCATCACACCTTATTGCTGGTGCAAGGGACTCTCCCTGCACTGCCAAGAAGCAAGATCCTGTGACTGGAAGTCCCCTCAGCTGACAGGGCTCCCAGTACCGTGGATGCACCATGAACCCCCGCAGCTGGGAGACTGCAGCTTATATGCTGCAAGCAAGTTTGGCGGACACAGTTAACAGCAACAAATTGTTTGTTTGCAGCAAAGCTCTCAACATAAACTGAGCTGAAATGGTATTCACAAACTGGAAAATGCTTCTATTCTATACTAGGTGATGGTGCTAGGTTAGGGAAATAAATCATTCAGCAGTCTTCAGATGGTCATGCTCTTTTACCCTGAAGGCAGTGGCAACAAGAGCTTGTGCAAGTCCCTCGTGGCAGGGATCCTCTTTTTATTCTAGGTCTGTCAGCTGTGCACTCATAACTGAAGGAAGCTGTCAGGTAAAGATGCAATACTAGTCATTAATAATAATACAGACTTGTTTTGCCATTTTAAAAAATATTCTGGAAATTTCTCCTAATGCACTATCCTGTTCAAAATATAGACCAGTGGAGATCAACTGAGGGAAATATCAGATGGCCACATTCTGAAGGACCAATCCATTGCGGCTTTGTAGTGGAGTGGGGAGAGGTTACATCGGGCTATTATTTTCAGTGCACATAATGGCAAAAACAGCAGGATTTATGGTGCACACCAACTGAAATGTTCCTTTGCTATTTGCATATTTCTAAGGCATTCAAGTAGTTAATTGGTACTAACTTTCAAACACCTTTGGGGACTAATTCACATTTAACAAATAGCTGTGCTGTTTCCACTGTGGCACCACATTAGGTCCATTAATTAGTCCCTATTAATACACAATCCCTTTGTGCCACTAGCATATTTCTGTTTGCAATTTATTCACAGAGAAGTTTTGCTAGTTCTAATTGCTTGTGCCTTCTTTTAAAATAGACAACATTTGCTGTTAAGTGGAAATAAAAATGCAGAAAAGCCCTCCCAAAAAACAACCAACAACAAAAATACACCCGTTAGCACAAATCTTGTTTTCTGATCCAAAGGAACGACTCCCATTGACTTCAATGGGCTTGGGATCAGGCCCTCAGAAAACCGATTGTCAAAAAAAAAATATTGGGTTCATTAAACTAGCCCATGTTCCCTCTAACACTCCTCTGAAGAGATTTTGCAGCCCTTACTCATATTGAGTTGTCTCGTGAAAGCTAATGGAATGGTTTTCATGAGCAAGCGCTCTTCCAAGTAAGAAAGACTCTCCGTGTCTAGCCAAGAGTTTATGGGCACTTTTACTTTCTCTCTAGCCTTAATAGAAATAAAAAGCATTTGTGGAAAGCTTAAAGCCCAACTTCTGCTCTCACTAAATTTCCAGTGGGACGTCTGGCCCACCTAACTGAGTCCTTTCCAGCTCCTTTTATGCTGCTTCTCCACATGCTCTTTTTTCACTGAGCTCACTCCCATCCCATCCCTCTTCCAACAAACTTCTCAGACCCTAGTCCTGTGATCTAGCCACAAGATGGTACTCTCTTCTGGTTATCTCTACAACTTAATTATTTTGTATTTTCCCACCAAATAGCATTATACATCCCCCCTTCCCCGGGTTTAGCAGCTAAGGGATAAATTGTACGGTTTGTCCAGATACAATCTATACTGTGGCTGTTGCTGCCCCAGAGGGTGCAGTCTGTTGCCCTGATGTGCTATCCCTGCTATGCAGGCTGGTGTAGAAATGAGGTCCTGTGTCCTCTATGTCATTTACCCCTGGAAGGATCAGACCTTTCTCTAACCTCGGTGATCTTGGAAGAAGTCTTCCCTCCCTCTTCTGTGCATTTCCCTCCTGCACAGTAGCACAAACGCAGGTTACAATTTGACCCTAAAGATATAGAACCAAAGTCAGACTTAGCCTGGCCTGCTGTGAAGTGGCTTCAGGTTCTAGTACAGCTGAACCTGGCCCACTAGTTGCAAAATACTGCAATAGTTTAATTTACGAAAGTGGCTGTGAAGTTCAATCCAACTTGGAAAATATGCCGTGAGTGATATAAAAGTGATTGTGCATTTGCAAAGACAGGATAATTGTTCCCAAAAAATAGCACTTAGGAGCATATTGCGACAGAAAAAAAATGAGAATGCTAATCCAACCATAATTTAATATCACAAACCTTGCATCACTCATTGGCATGCTAATGAATTAATTTCCCAAGTTTTATTCTCAGTGCTCTTTTGTGATCCTCAGTCTCTCCCATTCAGCACATTGCAGAGCTTTAAAGACCGCTTAATAAAAATACAATGTACACTTTATGATTTAAAGACAGTGGAAGTGCTTTCTCTACTGAAGGAATAGCACAAGCTTAGAAAGCAGCCAAGGAACTTTTTAAAAGCCAAGATTTTATTATGAGTTGTTATTGAAATTCAGGGTGGTCTCCCTTCTCTTCACATTTCTGACATTTTAGCTCCAGACTCTCTTTCACTCAAGGTATTTTGATGATCAACAGAAAATACAGGAACATCAGAATTGCTATACTGGATCATGTTAGTGGTCTGCTAGTCCAGGAAGCTTTCTCTGACACTGGCCAGTACCAGATACTTTAGAAGAACAGTATATATGACTTAATGGCTTCTCTTTTGCCTGCTCATACTTTATTTTAGGGATCACTATCAAGTTTCAAAATAATTAACTAGTACATTTATAAATATCTTCCAAAAGATTAAATTAGAACACACCAGACCAATGTATACTGGAATCTCAAATTAAGCTTGAGATAGTGTTTCTATTCAAAACAAATATTTTCGAGGACCTGCACCTAAATGATATAAGTGAATTTCAAGTTCCTCTCCTTTTTGAGCTGAAACCTGGCATGTGCCTCTGAATTGGAACAGAAATAGAAGCTGGCAGGTCCTTTTCATAAAAGTCAGTTTGAACTTTAGCTGGTTCAAGCAAATTTTGGTAACAAAGTCCAACACAGGACTGCAGACTGTGATTTTGATCATCTCTGAGAAACTCATCTGGGCCAAGCCTAGTATGACATGAGTGGACCTCTCCAGGATGAGGTAGGAAGTAGTATTAATCATTTGTAGTTAAACTGAGCCATCACAACAGCTTAACTGCCAATGCAAGATGATAACACTAGGGGTACTATCTTTAAGATAAGATGTAAAAGTAAATGTCACATGGATATTGGCAGTGGGTAGGGATTCTTTAGCTGTATACAGGGTACATGCATTTTTATATCTAGTCCTTCTGCCTGTCAAAAGGAACCCTTTCGATGTTGTTACTTCTCTGTAGAATCCTGACCACTTGCAGTCATTAAGAATCTGATCTTAATTCTGCTCTCCCTGGCTATGTCTACACATGCATTTAACTGCAGGGTAGGCTAATTAGCTGCGGAATAAAGTGTCACTGTCTACACATGCAAAGGTATTAGGCCCCAGTAAGTTAATTAACATTAGAGACAGTACTGTCTTATGCCAGGGTAATTTCCTATCATTAAATGCACATGTAAACACTAACTGCAGGCATAAATTGCACCCGGTCAACTCAGGCAGCTGGGGGCCAGATTTCTGCCTGCCACCTAACCATACAGATTTGGACTTTCAGCACCCTCATGCCCCAGTCAGTCCCTTTACCACCCAACATCACCACCTGGAGCCCAGGCCTGACTCCCAGTGCCCCTGACAGCCCCAGCCTGCTCTGACCTGGTTCAAATTGCTGCTGTTTGAGGTGCACATGTAGGCACTGCACCTGGAAGTAGTTTTCTTTTACTCAAACTGGTCCAGAGTTTATTGCTTTGCATTAAATTGCATGTGTACTTCTGATGTAATCCCAGTGAGGTAACAGAGCTATATCTGTATGAACAGAAT